CGGACAAAAAGCTGACAAAGTGGGGGCCTTGGATTCCCATTGGCAGAGAGAAGAGGCCCCTCAGGAGTCCTCTTTCCTCCTCATCAGCCCTGTCCTTGGGTGTGGCCATGACAGGACCAGCAGGTTACCAAGTGTTCAACAACCCATTCCTGCCCAGAGGGGACACCTCCCCTCAAGTCCCCCTTCTCCAACATGGAGATGAGGGGAAGTGGGCCTGCCCAGGGAGGGCCCCCAACGGATCTGGTCCCAGACTAGCCTTCTACAGTCCACCCTGTGTTACCTTAGGTGGCCTCCTCAAAATAGGCCAGAGGTGTCTGGGTTGAGGGTTCCACAGACGCGTACAGCCACTGAACAACCTCTCAGTCCAGGGTTTCCTGGCGGAGAAGCCCTGGGAGACCGGGAAACAAGAAGAGAACATGTTTCTTCTTCAACTGTCTCCAGCCAAGTGCGCTGGCTCGGGACTGTCACTAGAATGTGGGTGCCTGGTAACCAGGTTCCATTTCTGTTGGGGTCTGTAGTCAAGGAAGTGACATCACTTCCTGGGGTCCACTTCCTTGACCCCCCTCCTCAGACAACATCACTCACAGCCCTCTGGGCTGCTGCCTACTCACCCCCTTCTCCTCGCAAACCCACCTCTTCCACAGTTACAGCAGCCATGCCCTCTCCACGGCTCCCGGGGAGGCTCTGTGTGCAGCTGTGGCGAGATGCCCTGGCATCCAGACTCAACTCCTCATTCTTACCTGTTCTCCATCCTGGATAAGTCCTGGTGTCTGTCAAGGCTTGTCTGTCTCCCCACCTGCACAGTGGGGGTGATTCTACATGGTACTTCTAGGGACGTCCTCTGGTGTAAGTGGAATAAGGCTGAAACAATGGGGGAGTGGTGTCCCATGTAGGCGATGCCTCCCATGTTTTTCTTCCTCTGACTTCCTCCTCCATATCTGTTCCTCTTCTGATCCCACCCCATCATCCTTATTCAATGTACAGTGGTGTACGGGTGTCTGTGTGTGTGTGTGTGTGTG